GTAAGTGGAATAAACAACCGACACCGATGCGTGAAGCCCCGGCGGGACGAGGGAGACTCTAGCGAGCCTTGGCACCCGGACAGGCTTAAGCGACGAAATCCAGAGCACAGACAGTGTGTGGGGAAGAGATGCCACTGAGTGAGATCCCCATCTCTTTCTCTGGCGCTGGGCTCAAGCACTGGTCTTTCCGCAAGCTGCACCAAGAGCTTAGAACTACCGACACTTGAAACATATACCACATGTCCCCAAACTCACCCCATCAACGCAGCTCAAGCCGTTTACCCCAAATCAGCGCCTCAGTCACGGCCAGCAATGCTTTGCAAGATTGTGCCTCGCCGACATCAACAAGGTGGTGAATAAAAATCATCTCCGTTAGGCCAGCAAGCCCCGTTCAAATTACGGCGAAACCTCTCAGACAGCCATGCATCTTTTTCACTTGATTTATTCTACATGCAGCTGTGTCTGAGCTACGATTGGTCTGGACTGTTGATAGTGTTATACGGGAGCCAAGCAGATTAGTGCATTGGCACTTACTATACATTACTCTCCGTAGATAGCTTCAAGCAGGAAACAGGCAAGAATCTCACTGATCTCCATCTTTCGGCCAGGAGGGGCTTGTCACGATAAGTTACTTGGAAACGAAGCAGGAGCGGCTTGTGTAAATATCAAATGGCTCTTTTGACTTTAGAGAATCCCATACTCCAAATGTCATTCGCAAATATCGCCTCACAGAGTGTCGATTTACACTAAACTACAAACCCAATTCCGAGAAAAAGTGAGGTTGGGAAGAGATATACTAGTTCAAACTTGCACATTTGATGCACGTGTGAACTAAATGTTGTTGGAGCGAGGGATCGACGCGCTTAAGATTCTTGAATCATTGCCTTGTGGGCCAACGTCTTCTGTGGCAAGAGCCTCGACTTCAACTGGCGGAGGGAAAAAATAGCCTGGGACTCCTAGATGAGAGCGCTGATAGATCATCGGTCTTCGCCTTCGTAGTGTGGGTATATTCGACGGGGATATATTGTTACCCGCTCGGCATTTGACAAGGGGCCCAGGGACGGCTGCCTGAGCTGCTGCAGCCGCGGGATCCCAACATTAACATACCATCACATATATTTCTGGAAATTAATAGAAAGGGAGCACAGTCGAAAGAGGACTGCTGAGCTAGGCAGACGCGACTGACGGGTTGAAATTACTGACACCTGGTGCGCGTGCAGAGTGCTTGACTACAGTCCGCTCAGCAACAAGCCACGGCATGGGCAACCGTGACGGGATGTGTTGTTGAGCAAAGTTAGACTGGAGGATGCAAGGTTTTCCGGGAAACATAGGTAGCTGTCAAACTTTCGCAGAAAGCCATTTAAGCGCAGGCCGTCGATTCAGAAAAGTCCAAATTTCCCTTCAAATTTCTTTGCCTTCCAATAGTGTAAATTTGTGGCCAAGCAAAGCCAGGCGCAGTGGCAGTAGTGAGTCCTCGCGGGACATGCAAGCGTATCAAGGCTCCTGGATACAACAATATAGCCTGATTTGTGAAACTCCTCGACTTGCCCGCCTAGTCACGAGAAGACGGATTAGCCCAACGCCAGCTCTGATGTAGAGATGTAGGGAGTAGACTCGCACAGACTCTAGGCTGATTTGCACACACCACATATACCCTCATTATCTTGCCCAGGGCCAGCTTGTGGCTAAGCTTCAACTCCCGTGCCATAATATTTTTTAAACGTAATTTTTGTCTATGCTCAGGCCGCGGTTCTAAAAGTGTAGTGCTTATCTCACTGCCGGCCAAGCATACCTATAGATCCATGAAATAATCTTCAGTAACGGCTTTCATCTGCATTATGTGAGTTTATTGTACTGCTTGAGTCGTAGACTATCCAGCACATTGCGCTCCACTCTGGCCCAGGCCACACCTTGTACAGTGCTCCTTGCCTCTCATGTTTCTTGAAAGATCATTGATGTATCGCGCGTGATAGATAGCCATTCCGCTCAGTATTTACCCGTGGAATTCAGCCGCCTTTTCCACGGAACCTTCTACCCAAAAAAAAAAAAAAAAAAAAAAAAAAAAAAAAGGTAGCAATGCAAACTGCGTGCGCGGGTAAAAGTCTCAAAAAACCTGCAGCCCCAGCCAGGCGAGGCCTAGACACCGGGACCACATGAGGTGCGCATATCCATCTATATCTCGCTTCTTTGTAATAGTCGAGGCCGACTTGATCCAATCCGCCATCGCCGCGTGGGGTGCTGGGTACGCTTCGGAAACTCATCGGATGGCTTTTCCTCCTTGAGAGAGGGTTGGTGATGAGTAGGGCTCCGACCATAACATCTGATTTGATCGTGGTTAGCTTCATGATAGTGGTGATGGGGGAATGTGTTGAGAGATGAAGACGACACAGACGACGAGAGCGAATGGAAATCCTCGTCGAGGTGAGGACGGTGTTACTCAATCTCGGCTCTGCAGACTCTACAGCGAGAGCTGAAGGTGCGTAGGGAAGACGACTAACAGGAATTGAGAATAATCCCCTCGGAAAAGTCGTGACAGTGAGTGTGTGCTATAAAGTTGTCCAGTCTAATACCTCTGTACCATCATGGGTGGCGGGGCAGAATGCCAAAGATTTATTGGCGATAGACTCAACCTTGGCCCTTCAGACCTCAAGATAAGCGACTTTGGGTTGAAGGAAACAGCTCACACGGTTTGAATCTTCGTCTTCCTCGACTACTCGTTGCAAGTGCCCGAGAAGCAAGCGAGGGTGGTATTCGACAGGTATAACCATCGATGAGCCGGCATATTCCAGTATGCTATTCACTACCAAATGAGCGAAGGCTATGTGCTGGGAATTTAGATATATCTGCTCTATAGTCCAAGTCGTCGCGAACGCGATTTCGGCGCCACCCATTCATTCGCATATTCCCTCGTTGCCTTAACACCACGCTTCAACAAGATTAGGCCCTAATGTAATGTACGAGGACGCATGGCAAAGCTACACAAGATGGCGGCCGAGCAAGTCCAAAACACTGCGTGTCGCCATCTCCAACACCATTCAGACTTGGAACTCAAGACGTGACGTGGGGAATTCTCTGGACTTACTCTTCCCCCGGCGATCTACGAGCAGCGATCATAGCATGAGTCGGCCACGGGGATGTGCAAATACACCACAGCGTTTCGAGAAGCAAATAGCCGGATTTAATTCCACAGCCGGGAGTGCTGATGGGCCGCGCTATCCTATCCAACACCCCGTGGCAGCAGTGGTATGCCGACTGGAATCCTCGGGCCACTTTGATGCTAACTACTCGCGTAATAAATGCAGGTGAGTAAGATCAGGATGATGGCGTCGGTGATAGTAGAAGTCCGGCCGTGGAAAATTGGATGAGATTTCTAGAGGTGTTCAACGTGATTACAGCACAAGTCCGAGCGCTTGCACGGCTTCGTGAGATATTGACAGAGCATGCATGTAAGGATAACTGATGGGAGGTGGATAGACGCGGTCATGTAGCCGCTGCGAAGGCACGCGAGCAAAGCGAGGAATTAGTGTGGCCCATGACCTAGAGCGGCTTTGGAGGCATAATCATAGTTTGTGTAGAATAATTGAAGATGGCCTTGCGCCGCACCAAACTATATGGCGTCTTAGAGGCCACTGGTTTCGAATTGCCTGGCGCGAAGAAGTGCCCTCGATACACCGACACCGCAGCATAGGAGCCATGCCAGTTGAGTGCCTGCCTCATACTCCGCAGTCTCTGCTCAATCGAGCCAGTTTAACGCTCGAAAATGCCTTCCACCACTGCCTGGATTCGCCCCAGACCTCGGCTCCCAAGAAGCGGTCGGATGCTCCCGAGTCCTCCATGCTCGGCTATTTATGGCCCATGCACGCTACTCTCTAACCCTTCATCTCATTTGACGCGAACCAATTACGTCTGCTTGTCTCATAATCATGTGATCTGGCATCGCTTTGATGCTACATGGCCCAGCAAGGTTAATTCCCCAGCCTGAAGCAGCACGAGCGCGGCTGTTACTCAAACATCAATGTGCGTCGCCGTTCGCTTGACTCGCTCCCAAAGGGCTGGAAGCGTTACACCAATGAAGGAAGCAGCACGTCTACCTATACAACTCTCTTTTCGGCACGTTCAGCTGATGTAATGATACTCTGAAGCTGGGAGACGCGCGTGCGTGAAGCTCTGTTCACCGTGGCCTGTCCTCAGATTTGGGGGTCGCTGTTAGGTCCTATAGCCTCGATTTATCGACTTTTATAAAGAGATCGGCTGCGTCCATGGCTTCATCACACCCTCGTACATCCCACTTTCCTCGAGCCCTCATTCCCCGTCTCCCGTTCCACCTCGCAGCAAGGTCCATCTCAGTTGAGTTTCGTCAGAATCAATGCAATTCCTTCCGTTGGAAAGTTGGACTTTCACCGAAATCATCCTCATAACCGTTACTATAGGCATAGTTTCTGGCTCCTTGTGTTGCCTGATCGTTGCCTATCTGCTGCCTTCTAGCAGTAGGCAGTGGACATATGGGGATAGTTGACTGTCGACACATCAATTGACCGGATCGCTTGGGAGATTTTTATGCCTTGGCAGCTCGGCTGAGAGCGGGGAATCTCACCTCTGGTTTGCTGGAAAATCTACTAAATGACCTTCTGGATTCATCATCAATTTAATTTTTCTCTACTGAGGATTCAGCCTGCACTTTGTCTTGTAAAGCCTTTCCCTGAATATGGCAGTTAACTCAAGCTATGGGGATGGATGTGAAGATGAGGTACATCTTCCACCCTAATCTCATTAGTCTCACTGATAAAGAAGTATAGACTGGCATAATAGACATTGACGATCTTCAAGCTCATGGTAACTAGCTAAAGAGCACTAAGCTGATGGAAATTATCTGACATCCTCAGGTATCGGTGCATCTGACATCTTGAAATTGCGGGCTAATAATATTTGTACCATTGCGGTAAGCTTAAGGACTGCCTGGGTAAATTGGCTTTAACACATAATATCAGACTTTACTTAATATGACTACGAGAAGGCTCTTAAAAATCAAAGGCTTCTCTGAGACAAAGGTGGAGAAGATCAGGGAAGCTGCTAAAAAGTTGTTGGTTAGTTAAGTGTAAAAAACATATTCTCTTATTGCTGACACTCGCATCCCTCTGCTTGTGCCTTTATCACCGCTGCCGAACTCAAGGAAATCCGTAAGAGATGCATCCGAATCTCGACAGGAAGCAAACAGCTTGATGCTGCTCTAAACGGGTGGGTCAAATCAATTCCAGGCATATATCACAGGCACCAACTTCTCCAGTGGTTTCCAGACGATGAGTGTGTGCGAAGTCTATGGGGAATTCCGTAAGTTTTAGAACTCCAACGCTGTACCCTGTTAAGGATGCATCTCTAGGATGTGGCAAGACCCAACTTGCACATACCCTGGCAGTTGTAGCGCAGCTTCCTCGCGTAAGCAGATCTGGCAGCCAAAAAGATTGGTCCTCTAAATATACTAGGATATGGGCGGGGCAGAAGGAAAAGTTGCTTATATCGGTTAAGGAGCCGGCTGAATCCACTCGTCAGAATCCGACTAATTGAGTTTTAGATACTGAAGGTACATTTCGTCCCGAGAGAATCCAGGATATTGCCGAGCGCTTTGGTGGTAGTTAACCATGATATCGTTATGATCACCATTAACTCTTGCAGTTGATCCTGATCAAGCATGCGAAAATATTGCTTTTGCCCGAGCTGGAAATACAGAGGTTCGCTCCTTGATGCTAATCTCAGCTTCAATATTAAGCTACCTAGATGCAAACTGAACTCCTCGAGGGGCTTGCGGCCAACTTTTCTTCGAATGAATATCGTCTTTTAATTATCGATAGCATCATGGCCTTGTACCGTACTGATTATGTGGGTCGTGGCGAATTGTCCGAGCGTCAACAAGCTCTAGGCGCTTTCCTTCGCAGAGCAGCTCAAATGGCAGAGGAATTTAATCTACTCGTGTTTATGGTTAGTCTGGCACCCGGGGTAAACCTTCATGTGGTTAATTCTCTAGACAAATCAAGTCATGTCGGATCCAGGTGCCATGTCTTTTGCTGGGGTCGATGGTCGCAAGCCTGCAGGAGGGCATGTTCTCGCCCACGCCTCGACTACGAGACTCTTACTTCGAAAAGGCCGGGGCGAGGAACGTGTTGCGAAAATCATGGACTCTCCGGGTATGATCTAATTTATGCCTTATTATCTTTGTATTGGGACCTGATACAAATTTTCAGATTGTCCCGAGCGAGAGGCGACCTATATTATTACAACTGGAGGTATCAACGACCCTGAAAGTTTCATCAAGTGATGAATTAATTGTTGACCTCGGTCACGAAAATCGAAGATGAATAGTCAGAACGCCAATTAATTGTTTGTATATCGCAGTGCTATTTTACACATTAGCTATAATAGAAATAATGTAATCACCGGGCCTTGCTTAAATTAGCCCCAAGTCCTGTAATCTTCTTGTGCTCTGACTGTAGTCGATTTCACATCTTAAACACCTTTGCTGTAATAGACCGGGAGTCTATAGAGTTGCATATTTCAATTGAAGTTCTGTTACAGATTGAGCACCGACACGGGAAGCTAGACGACATGCATGTGCCATCCTTTTAGCCCTTGCAAAAGTACTTTATTAGGTTCATCCATACTTTGAATTTATAGCTGCCATCCCCAGTCCAGTCCGAGCAGCCTGCGCACCTACTCTGCTCGAGACAGGAAGTCTCTTCAAACTTCAATCTCAAAGGCGGGTTTGGTCAAGATCATGAAGGTATGACTAGGAAGAGTCCAAATCTTGTGAACATCAAGTGTTACCAGCAAAAAAGACCCACGGCGTGAGTAGGTCCTCGTAGTGTATATCACCCTTGTCTCCACATTAGATTAGATTTTTTTATTATAGTCCCTACTGAGTCTAAGACTATGGAGGACTTTTGTCTCCACATTATCATCAATGAAAGACAACCCTTCCCCGTATTTTCCTCTTCTCGTGATTCCGGATGAAAGTATCAACATTTAGTTGATGGCAAAAAGAGTCTCTACGATGGAACAGTACATCTTTCCAATTGTACCAATATCCAAGTGCGAATCCGTTTCTCCACGCACTACTACCGGGTCTCTCTACTCCATGCTGCGCTTTCTTATCCCTACACACTCTTTTCCTGCCGGTCAAATTACACACCATTGATCCTTGGGCGCATTGTGCTGGGCCGCATTCACCTACCGGCCTCACGCAAAAAGCCTCTCGCATCCAGTAGTGCTATCAACAATCACTTCTTCTACGCCCCGATGTCAGTCACGAATGGCACCGGCTCTCACCGGCCGGTACTCCATGGAAGACCAAAGAGTTCATTATCCACAAGCCTCACTGCATCATTCCCATACATCGACCAGTGACTAGCTGCGTCACCATGGCAAAGGGCGGCACGATCTGGCTGGGAGATTTTGATTCCTCCGCAATTTCGGCGGGTACCAATGCAAGACTTGGCTTATTTTTGAACATGGTAGCCCTCCAGATCGCCACCTCCCCAGTCCAGATCTGCATGCGAGATGGCCCTCTTGCGGCCACTGGCGAAATCGCCACCGAAGGGATGGTTCGTGTGATTATAGTGGTTCTAGCGCAGGGACGTCTGCATGGGACGTGCCGCACCTGCGTCCCTCGCGAAAACCGTCAGGAACATGTTCCCCCGGATTTCAGCTATTTCTTGACGAGCGTGGAATAGTAACCAAACCCAAGCCGCCGGGCGAGCACATGTTTCCACGGCCCGCACCCGGCCATCTATCAGCGGCGCCACCCCAGAGCTTCCAGCTCTCTCGTTACCCAAGCAGAGTCAGGATTGAGCAAAACTTTCGCTCTTGTCACCTTACTAGTCGCTTAGGGTGTATTGTCTACGCCAGTACGGCAGGGATGGAATTTAGGGCCTAGCTTACTGTAGGGGTTACCAATGTTGCAGTCTGGATACAGTTGATTGGCAATTGAGATCGTTACAATCGGTGTGGGTAAGTCTGATCCTTTATTTGTACAGCGAAAAGTAGGTACTTTAATCAAGACTTTCTTGGCAAATTTTAGTCTAGACCTATTCTGCTGTATATTTAATGCAATCGGATGAACTGATTGTTTGGACTTGTGGGCCCTCCATTTCTACCGTGTTCCTGGCACGTTCTTGTGTGTAGTTAAAAGGTTGGTATGTAGAATACAGTAGAGCTTCAGTCTACCAAATAGATGCATGAGTGAGAGACTGTGAATGTATATTGTGCTACTTGAGTCGTAGACTATCCAGCACATTGGCCTCCTCTGACATAGGCCACACCTTGTACAGTGCTCCTTACCTCTCATGTTACTCGAAAGATCATTGATATATTCCCCTTGAATAGCCATTCAGCTCAGTATTTACCCGTGGAATTCAGCCGCCTTTTCCACGGAACCTTCTACCCAAAAAAAAAAAAAAAAAAAAAAAAAAAAGGTAGCAATGCAAACTGCGTGCGCGGGTAAAAGTCTCAAAAAACCTGTAGCCCCAGCCAGGCGAGGCCTAGACACCGGGACCACATGAGGTGCGCATATTCATCTATATCTCCCTTCTTTGTAACAGTCGAGGCCGACTTGATCCAATCCGCCATCTCCGTATCGGGTGCTGGGTACGCTTCGGAAACTCATCGGATGGCTTTTCCTCCTTGAGAGAGGGTTGGTGATGAGTAGGGCTCCGACCATAACATCTGATTTGATCGTGGTTAGCTTCATGATAGTGGTGATGGGGGAATGTGTTGAGAGATGAAGACGACACAGACGACGAGAGCGAATGGAAATCCTCGTCGAGGAGAGGATGTTGTTACCCAATCTCGGCTCTGCAGACTCTACAGTGAGAGCTGGAGGTGCGTAGGGGACACCACTGACAAGTGTTGAGAAAAGTCCCCCTGGATGCATGAGTGGCTGTATGGCATAGGCATTAGAAGTTAAATGGGGGCTCTTGTTGCGGTTTCAGTGTGAGAGTAGAAAGTGTAGCTCGATGGATATTGCTTCCATTAAAGCTAGGCCCCTCTGGTCTCTGGTGCATGATATCTCAAAGCACGTGCTGCGCGCAGGTACGATGTTAAGTGATCCACAAAAGTTTATCAAATTTGATGCTCTCACGAACCACAGGTCGGAGAGCAAGACTGAACACCTGTCCGCGGTCTCCTCTACGAACCTGGGCGTGAAAGATTCTCCCAGAGCCAAGTTCAGTCAAATTTCGCAATATCAAAGAAGTTGGCCCACGAGGCAATGATTCGAAATACTCCGCGTCGTTTTTTCGCTCCCAACGAGTTTGACTCCTAAGTTTTATCACGTCTACGAGTACGACCTAGTATCTCCTCACCCCAATGATCACACCTCTCGTCGACTTTCTCTGGCCTCAGTTGGCCACCAAATATACGGCCACGCCGATATTTACACCCGACGGAGGAAGCAAAGCGTGGCGCACAAATATGGGAGACAGTTCTTTGGGATGGACGTGAGAAAGATCAGGACCAGTTCATAGGATGATGCAAAGGATGGATACATTGTCGACGGGCGTTTGATTCTGAATTTTGGCAAGCAGTTTGACGATTTGAGCTTTGTGTGCGCCAAGACTTCGCTTGCGAGAGTGCAGCTGGTGGGAAATATACTCTGTACTGCTAAACTTTAGTGCAGCAGATCGATTGTTGCGTAGTAGCTTTATTACTAAAAGATGGTCTCTAATTATTACAAAATCTAATGTCTCGCGATGCTCGCGTAGTATACTAATCTTTACCTTTACGTCATGCTTACGACTTGGTCTGATACAACCTATTTCAACATGTACGATATTATATGGATAAATATGATGAATTAAAGAAGACTTAATATTTTACAGATATGGGAACATTGGACTTATATATACGTCTAAGGGAGAAATTCCCGCTAGCCTCGTGTGCCTGTCAAACCTAGTGATGACTAGCCACCTCTCATCTACCATGATGATCCAAGGTACACTGTAGTACGTAAATATCCAAACGTATAGGCGGCAGTAGGCGCCATTAGCGTACTCGGGACATTTGTAGAGAGAGTCGATCTTGTCGGGAACCTGAGACGAAACAGGTAGTGGTTGAGTCCTAAATTCGAGAGTCAGCATTTCCAACAGCAGCTGCCACTATGAACACAAGTCAGCGATGGAAGGTGTTGTGATCCGCCTCCTGGTGGTGTTCTCCGGTATGGTTTGAGTAGCCTGGGCACCTACTCCACTTGGGAAGGAGACAACTAAGACCAAATTTCGCGCGGAGGAAAGTTATTGGATGATGGAGGCATATCTAGATAACTCAGGGGTTTTGAGATGTTCCCCTGGGTGGGTATTCACGGATGAAGGTTGACTTGGGGTGAACAAAAAGCCGCCATAACTTCGCAGTGGTACTTGCAAATGAAATGCGAGGCATAAGTGCTCCTATTGAAAATTGAGTCATCTTTTCTGTACTTTTCTTTGATATTGTGTCATAGCTAAAAAGCTTCATCCGCAATTAAAATCTGATGCCCAAAAAAAATACCACATGTCATGGTATTTTAACTGACACTGCCTACACAGTATAGCCTCTTACTAATTTCAGAAAACTACTCTATTGTGCTTCTCCTTTTGCATCAAGCCATCCCTAAAGGAGCAACTCCCGCACACCGTACAAAAATCACCGTCTACTTCCAAGCCCTCAGACAAGGCCAGACCGAATGTTGATTATATATCAGATCTAAATAATGATAAGATAAAAATACACGCATATGTCTTTGCCACATCTGATAATGTGAGGGATTCCCTAGAGGGACTAAATCGAAAATAAGGAATTTGTGTTATGATGTGAAATCACTCAGCCAATTAGACAAGCTGTATTAGATGATATAGAGATCTATACAAGATTTGGTTGGTGTAGTGACATCATAACAGTTGCATGTGGATGGTGTGAACAAGAATGTAAACTATTCTATAGCACATGATAGAATATCTTACATCACAAGATGGAATATTTTACTAGCAATTAGATAGACGAGCTTTAGGTATAAATAGGAGTATTCTCCTCCATATAGATTGCAATCATGAGGAAACGAAACTAATAAAGCTAACACATATCATCGCCCACTTCATAATAGTGTCAAGCACATATTGATAAAGCCACTGTTTGTATGCAATTCCCCTCCTCATAATCACAATAGGTTATGAGCCCGGACTCTTCCCTGCTCTCTATCGCATGATGGATAAAACTGCAGCAATTATTCTAGGTCCTGGGACCAGCTTCTTAGACTGGGAATCCGACCTTCAAGCTGCTCTCATCAAGAAA